TATTAATATGTATATTCGTATAATAATATATATTCCGAAACAATTCAAATGCATAGTCTAAAATGCCCATATTAATTTACATTTTTAACCCTCCTTTTATGTTTGTACTAGGAGTGTAAATGAGTCGAGTCACTCGCGAGCGGCTCGGTCAAAGCTCAGCTCGAGCTCGAGCCGAACTCGAGCGGCTCGTTTACTTATCGAGCTCAAGCCAAGCTCACATATCCTATGCTCGTGGCTCGACGAGCGGCTCGCAAGCCTTATAATAATAATAATAATAATAATAATAATAATAATAATAATAATAATAATAATAATTAAAATTTTACTCCCTTCTAAGGTTTACTCTACTTAACTACTTTCGCAGTCTCGCACTCCTGCCCCCATTCCACCCAAGTCCTAACTCTGGAGTATGAAAGACTATCGACAACGACACAGAGACAAGATACAGAAACATCGGAAGATTGTCGACCGACGACGACGACCCTTATCACCAGGCTCCACCTTTGCTGATGACGAACTGACGAAGCTGCTGTAGTGCTGCACAATAGTCGACTAGTCGAGACCGAACGAAGCTGCTGTCGACGAACAGACGAAACTACGCGAATTCCCATCGAACCTGAGCTCGAGCTCAAACAATCGAGCTGCTCGAGCTCTGTTCGAAAATTGTCGAGCTCGAGCATCAATTGTCGAACTCGAACTGAGCCTTCCTTAATGGGCTCGAGCTCGAGCCAACCCAGGCTCAAACTTAGCTCGACTCGTTTACACCCCTAGTCTGTACTTAATCTGTTAAGCATTTTCGTTAAATACTCCCTCCGTCCCATTTTGTTTGTCTGGTTCGGTTAGCGAGGCTTGACTGAAGCTATTTTTACTTCAATTTTTCATATATTAAGTTTATTTTTAGTATATAAAATTTATATGTTTAGAAACTACATTAAAAGTAACTATTAAACATAAAAAAATCAAATTTAAAAATAATTAAAAATTATTAAAGAAAATAAGCAATAAAGAAAGAGTTGGATTGACCAATAAATAGTAAACAAGACAGGCAAAATGGGACAGAGAAAGTACAAAATTGATGAATATTGCCCAACTTAAAGTAAACATTAATTTAGTACCAAAAAAAAAACATTAATTTAACGTAACCCACCTAAAGAAATTCCTCAAATTTCGGTTTTTCGCTCACAAAATTTTCCTCGCACCCAGAATTCGCCCCACATTTTGAACCATAGACCTCCAACATAGAGGAGCAACCGGATACTAATGGATTACAAGGTCCTTGGTAGCTTAAAATAAGTTATAACCCCTGCCAAACTGACTCTTATATTAGGTGAAATAATATTACATTTTTGTGTGGTGAACAATTATATATTACGAGTAATTAGACTTTTAAAACGAAAATGCAATAAATTGACACCAATAAACTAGGCAATGAACATAGCTTTTTAATTTTCAGCTTATTGGCAAGTTAAGAAAAAAAGTTGTTTTACCGATCAAATTAACAAGTCAGACTTGAGCTAATTGGCCATTATATTCTAATTTCTAAACACCCCCAGTTTGGGTTCCCAGATGGAGCATGAATTGTAGCGTTGGATCTGGGACACCGGCCGGGCTGCACGTTATACATGCATAGATGACGCTGCTCCTAACAGAAAGCTCATCACTTTACTCCTTGCTTCAAGCCTGCAATCCTGCATCCTTACCACCTTTATATACACATTATAATGAACAGCACTGCATAATATATATTCACCAATATAATCACCATTCTCAGCTTATATATATTATCATCACATGCACCCCACACAGAAGTTAATTAATTAATTAAAATCATTTTCATCGTTAATCTAGAATGGGGTTTCTTCACATCGATTCTGCCAGTACAACGACGGCGACAATAATGGTGCTGCTGCTTCTGGCGACGGTGCACCAAGGCGGAGGGCAGCCGCAGCCTGCGCAGCTAGGGCAGTGCCTCGTCACCTGTAGCCAGATTACCATGGCTTGCACCCTCCAGTGCTCCGCCGCCGCCGTGCTCGACTCCTTGCCGTGCCTGACCGCTTGCGGCACCGACAGCGTCACTTGTGGCACTGGTTGCCTCAGCGGTGTGGTTCACCCGCCGGCCGGAGTTTGATGCCGCTATCCCTGCCTTTTACAGCTCGCATATCAGCATGCAATACATGTTCAAAAGCTTCAATTGTATGTATTGTCTTCTGAATCATATGATATAATAATAATATAATACTTATATATATTCTTCTTCTTCTTCTCAACACTTATATATATATTCTTATAATAATATTTTGAAACAATTGCCAAGAAGCTTGTAGCTCAATGAGATCTAACTCTTCCAAATAGGAAGTCACATATTTAGACCTTACTGGGACATTGATTGAAACAGTAGTAAATAAAAAATTAATGAATATTAACCAACTTAATTAAACTAATTAAACATCAATTAACCCCCAGTAAAGCGAAATTCCTTAACACCTAGAGCTCTTACATCTTGATACAATAGGATAGTGGAAAGATAAATATGGTAATTTAGCGACTCAATTTTTAACAGCCCAATTGGATGACTTAGCCACAATTTTATGTAGCTGTTTAATACTCCGTATTTGTGAGTTAATATTACTCTCTCGTATATCTTACAAAGTATTAATTTAACCCACCCACATAAAGCAACTGGTAATCAGATTATTAATTCAACTATAAGGTATGAGAATTTTGGATGTTGGCCACTCTAACTAATTTTTGTCTTTTGTCTTCTTTTCCCCCCCTACTTTCTCTTTCAATTCCTCTATTTCCTTGTTGGATTTTAAAAAATCTGAAGAAAAATTCAAGATGTTGAGCTTGCTCTTAATTAGTATATGGAAACAAGAAATGTAGGAAAAGGGGAAAGATGGAAAGAACATTTTCAAAAAAAAAAAAAATGTATGAAACAAAATATATATGAAAATAAAAAATATAAATATATATTTACAAATATTTTTTTCTTATCTTAAATATACATGAATATTAACTATTTAATAGTTTTGATGGTTAAAACTATTACACTAATAAATAAAAATAATGTACTAACAAATAGTTAAACTCTAAAAATATTCTTAAACTCCGAAATAATAACGCAATGTCTAATTTCTAAACTCCAAAATATTTATAAATTTTAACATTCTATTTAATTAGTTTAATTTGTTCATATTTTCATTAGCATCTTCATTTTTAGACCCGAAAAATAAAATTTTGAAGGTAGTTTTCTTGCACTGTCAACTACCGGTATGTGTTGTTCACTTGTTGCCGTCAGATTTGTCTCAGGAGTAGAAAACTGAAGAGGGAGCTGGGAATTAGTCGGCGAAAATGATAAAGAAATTTTACTGTAAAACTTTAAGTTTCAATTAGGAGTTAATTCCTTTTTTTGGTCCTAGATTTTGGCTTGAACAATTTTAGTTCTTTATAAAAAAAAATTGTCACTTTTTGGACAGACTTATTGTGATCAGGACAAATTTGGTCCTCCGTCAATTATCTCGTTAGTTAGTCTAAATGAGAGATATTTATGTCAATTCAGTTTATTCTCCTTCAAAACAATTTCGCTGTCGGAGACATCTTGACAGTGTTCATCACAAGTTTATTTTGAGAACATTAACAAACCGAGCTTATAGCTTATTAATAACTTAAAATAAGCTATAAACTCCTAATAAGCTCTACCAAATAGACTTTAAATTGTCTAAGTCACTATAAGTGTATGACCAAAAAGAGAATTAACTCTTAATTTAGTTTTCTAGATTTTAAATTTTTGACTCAAAATTTATTTTAAAAAACAAAAAATTAAAAAAAAAATAAAAAAAAATTAAAAAAAAACTTTTGGACATGAAATGAATTTAAGATTTTTTAGTTGATTATGAAATTAAACAATGCATCCACTGTTTAATATGATCAAGGTTGATCACTTTGACCAGATCTGATGATGGAGGCATTACCTCCCTCACCATCCCTAGACGAAGGAAGTAGTGCCATGTGTTAGGCAGAGGCAAGTGAAGGGCCATGTCCAACATCATATATGTAGTTAGGGAATTGTTGGATGAAGGTTGGAAATGTCAAGTCTAACACCCTATCTCTTGAAAATGTGATGGTATATAAAGAAATAAAGTTTTGCATTTCCTATAAGGTATAGTTTTTGAAATAGTGGTAAACGTTTGATCTTAACAAATGATAATTGAACTAGGAGGTTGGCAGAAAAATGGGGAGGCACTACCTCCTTTGTCTAAATCTGAGCGGAGGTGGCAACGCCTCCTTCTTCTTCTTTTTTTTTTTTTTTTTAGCACCCTATATGACGGTATATAAAGAAATATCACCTTTATGATTGGTAGCGTGTGAGCAACATGAAAAATATGATAGTTGAAGAAATTTTGGTAGTTAAGAGTTCTCGGATTAGGCTTATTATATAGAGTTTTATTACGGACTCTCAATTTATAATCTTCTACTTTTATTCCATATGTGGTAAGAAATGATAATATATCTTCACCTCTGGCCCTAAAGAAAATGTTAACATCAATATTTTTAATAAGAGAGTAAAAATAGAGAATATAACTTGGGAGTCAAAGTAGTATTTTCCTATTGCAAAATGGGCCTTTTGCCATATTTTCACCTATTAAATACCATTTGGTTATTTAGTCTAACCCAGTACTAATTCAAAGTACTATACCCTTGATATAAAAACTCAACACATAGTATAAACTGTAAAGAGAGGTTGAAACTTGAAACAATAATTATATTCCTGAAGCTCACTTCCATATATAGATTATATTCAATCAAACAACATATGGAGCTTCAGAAGTATGATCATTATTCATTAATGCCGGCAGGAGAAAAGCTTAAATTAGTATTTCTTGATCGATCTTCACCTCTATTCTGCAGCATTATATTCATCATCATCATCTGAATCTGGGATTTCATTCAAATCGAATCCAAGCCTATTAATTCTATTGTCCCCACCACCATTTCTGTCCTCATCTGCGGCCGCCGGCGGCTTCCCGGCCATGACCTCCGGCGACGCCTGCGGCGGCGGCCCTGTTTCTGCAATGTCGCTTGTGCCCACCCAGCGCCTTCCCACTCCGGAAAACCCTTTCGCAATCGTAAGGGCATTTGAACGCCATCCTCTTCTCCGCTTCAGATTCTGCCTCTTCTTCTGAATCTGAATCTGAATCTTCGTTAACGTCATAATCTTCATCGTCGTGATCATCATCAGACGAAGAAGAAGAAGAAGAAGAAGATTCATCGACTTTACTGGAGAGCATTTTCCGAGCTGCTTTAGTGTGATGGCCGCTATGGGCGGCCAGTGAACGATGGCTCTTGAAATAAACGCCGCAAACGCCGCAAAAATAACGCTCCCCCGCCGCCGTGCTCTGAGAGTTCTTCTCATCTCCGTCCTCCATTATTACTTTACGCTTCTTCGGCGGCACATTAGGTTTTCCATTTTCAGTTCTTGCAGAGATGACGGCGCCGCCTTTGAGGTTGTTCAGATTCGGAATCGGGTTTTTCTTCTTCCTGGGACCGTCGTCATCTTCGCTACTTCTCCTTAGCTTCTGCGAGTGGACCTTTTTGTGGCCTCCCATGGCTTTCCCACTACTGAACTGCTTGCCACAGAAGCAGAAAAATGGAGGCTCCATTATCGTCTCCATGCATGAAAGGAAAAGCAAAATGAGGAATATAATATATCACAAATGATGAAGAAAATGAGATATATAAGGGTGTGGTGGGGCCAAAGGACGAAATAGGAACAACAAAATTAATAAATCTTGAAACAAAATCGTGTGGATTTTGGGAGGATGGACAGATTCACAACACAAGGCATCATAATTTATTGCAGATTGAATTAATTGATTTTGTCTTTTTGCAGATTTAAACACATAATCACATTAAATTTCACTAAATTAAAAGTCAAAGAGTATTAGACCTGGAAGTCGTTACGCTCCCCTACATTTACCACTCACACACAAGTGGTCAACTTCATGATGTGACATTTTATGGTGAGTTGAAATTTAAAATTAAAAAAAAACAATTAACCGGACAAAAATAGTCACATCAGGAGCAAATATAAACGAGCTGTTATACCATGGATCAGGGTCCACCTTGTAATGGAGACTCGAGTCCAATATACACAATTACATACTCAATGTTAACAATTTACATACTTACAGGGCGCTTGGTTAGAGGGGGGAATTATGTGGGAAATGAATTGTAATTTCATGGGAGTTGAATTACTGAGAATAAAGTGGGAATTTAAATTTTAGTGTTTGGTTGATAGGAATAGAATTATTGGGAATTTCAATTCCAATGTTTGGTATACACGGGAATTGAAAGGGAATAAGTAGTATAAAGTCAAAAATGTCCATTATTGTTGTTAGACATATTAATTTTAGGTTAAAAAAGGAAGGGGTAATTTTGACTCATCACTATCTTTTTTTCCCAGGAATTAAAATACCAGGGGGGACATAGGATTTTAATTTCATGAAAATGGGGGAATTGCAATTCCCTCCAACCAAACTACGGAATTTAATGGCCTTTAGAATTAGGTGGGAATTAAGTGGGAAGGGAATTTAAAATCCCTCCAACCAAACGCCCTGTTAGTGTTTACAATTTACCTTTTACAAAATTATAAACATTGAGTATGTAAATTGTATATTTTAGATGCGGGTTCACAGAATAATTTGCCACTATAAAGTGTGTGGTTTTTGTAGGCCCATTAAACCTCTTCATTTGGTAGTTAAGGAGAAAGTTTGACTTTTCTTAAAATGGTGATCAAATATGTGGAATATGATTTTAGATTACATTCGATTCTAGTTCACACCTTATCAATCAAACCCTTGTGTGCTTTGAAAATTCCTCTTGAATGAACCGAGATTCAACTTGATTAGTATTAGTATCATGAAGTTTTACCAACAAGCATATATTTTGAAATTAATTTTTGAGATTTAATTAGAAAAAAAAGTATGAAACAAATTTTAAATAACACCATCAAAGTAATATATATATATATATATATATATATATATATATATATATATATATATATATATATATATTAAATATGAAATAACACTTTTTTTTTTTAATAATCTTACCACCCTAGCCTTAAACCCATGACTTCTCATTTAAAAAAGACACATCATGTCATTCGATCACAAGGTCATTTTGATGAGTGGATTTGAATGAGAGGCAAGCATCTCTAGGCCATTATATTAGTCGAATTAGTAGTTGAGGATTTTTTGTCAATAAAAAAAAAAAAAAAAAAAAAAAAAGTAGTTGAGGATTAAATAAAGGCACAGTCATAATGTCAAATGGGATTTAATGATGCAATATTAATTAAAAGTATATTTTCAATAACAATATGTTTGACTAACGGAGAAATTTCGAAATTTTGGGTTTGATTAATTATATTATATTGTTTTCAAAAAAAAAATTATATATATTATATTAATTAAAGCTTATCCCCGTAATAATTTTCTATATCTGATCTCAAATTTGGACTTTTTTTAAAAGAAAAAACTTAACAAAAATAGTTTCAAAGAGATTAAGATCTCAAAATTATAATATTAATTCAATTTTATTGTGAATCAAATCATATTCTCACGTGAATCGTTGTATCATTCTCATCTCTGGAAAGAAATATAATAAATATAAGAATATAAAATAAAGTAGAGAAAGAAGAACAAGAGATATATAGAAAATCATCACTTTTTATTAATATCATTCAGTATAATATATACTAGATATACAGAGTTCTAGTATAATTACAATAATACCAGAAATTAATTATCTTCATTACTCCAAAATTTCAGTTGTGATTCCAATAAAATAAATTCAATTTTTTTAAAGTACGAACTTGAAATTTTGAAAATGAAATGTTAGCTGTTAAAAAAAGAATTTGATGGTCCAATTTTGAAAGAATAAGTCTAGGGTTTCTCACAATACCTAATTAGGTATTACCTATGATGAAGGTTATGTTGAAAACTTAACAAAATAGTCAAGAAAAACCTATCACAAATTAAAGCACAATAAAAAACATTTTATAAACACACAAGCACGTTTTGTACGAATGAAAATGCTAAAGAAAATTAAAGCTAAGCAACAAATTAAAGTGCATAAAATTGTAAAAGTATGACAGAGCAAATTTTATAGTGGTTCGAAGATGGTGTAATTTATCTATTCCATTTTTCTCTTTTTTTTTTTTACTAAAAGAAAAATTTACTAGTATCTTTTGTTTACCACATAAAATACGAGTCCAAACTTATGCTTTGATGATCACTAAATTAGCACAAAGTTTGTTCAGATTTTCACAATACTCCACGAATTTGCTACTCTTCCTCTTTCTACAACATGCCTATGCTTAATCAACTTTTACTACTTTCAAACTTCTATTGTATTTGTATATATAGATCTCTTTTGCTTGGAAGTCTTTGCTACTCGTAGAAGTAGTGATGGTGCCACTTAAGAAGAATAAGTCGGTATGGGGATAAATAGACTTATTAAGATTTTAAAAACTTTTTAGAAAGTAAATAAATCAAACTTGAATGTTTGACTAATTAATTAAGATAGAGATTTCTCAATAATACTTAAGAAATATTATGTTGAAACTTTAACTAAATAGTGCATAGCGAATAATATTTATGGCATACTAGCACATTTTGTAGGTATGAAAATGACAAGTAGTGTAAATGCATGCAAGAAAATAAATGCGTAAAATAAAGACACAAAGGGGGTGTTTGGTAAATATATGTTAGCTGATTTGGTTAGTGAGTTTGACTAATTGATAGCATTAACTGATTGTAGAAAATTGTTTGGTAAATTAGTTGTTAGTTGATAGCTGATTATATGCAAAATGACTAAAAAGTTACTTTGAGCAGCATTTTGAATTTTATCATTTTGGAGCAATATGTTGTTACAAAAATCTAATTAAACTAATACTCATATTGATTATTTAACCAAGCCACTTGTTTGGCAATCAACAGTTAACGATTAGCGGTAGCGGTTAACAAATAGCGGATTGTATTAGTGGGTTTGACTAGCGAATTGTGTTTGCGATTTGTAAAAAAAGTGTTTGGTGAAATTAGCTGTTTAGATTAGCGGTTAACATGTAAAATGACCTAATAATAATAATAATAATAATAATAATATTATTATTATTATTATTAATAATAATAATATTATTATTATTATTATACAAAATAAATTTATATAAAAAATAATTAAAAAAACAGTGGAGTTACAGATGTGTGATTTTGATCCCACATCGGTAACTCATCAAGAAGAGGAGCTCAAATGAGCTCCTCTATATAAGAGAAACATAATTTCTCTTTTAATGTTAAAGAGCAAAAAGGCTACTGTAATTAAGGAGCCTTAATCGCTCTATATATAGTTAAAAAAATATTTTGTAAGAATATATAGAGGTGTTTTGGCGAAAGACCATTCTTTCCCCAAAACGTCACTAATAGCAGCGTGTTGGAACTTGGTGGTTTGGAGCAAATCCGCTGCTCCAAACTGCCATTTGTCAAATAATAATTTCAATGTTTTGATCGAAGTCAAAACGTTGAAAATGGCGGATTCGGTCAAATTTTGGTGGATTCGCCATTAACCAAACAAGCCCAAAAAACTAATAGTAATTAGCTGATAAACTAATTATGTTACCAAGTTTTATAGTGGTTCAGCGATAGTGTAACTTCTCTACTCCACTATTTAATCTCTTTTTCACTTAGGAGGAAATTCACTAGTAATCTTGTCTAATGTACAAATTACAAGTGAATCCAAACTTGTGATTTGATCACAAAACTAACACACAACCGACCACGTGTTTGGATGTAAAACATTATCAACCCAAAGTTGATTTTCCTCAAACTAAAACACACTGAGTAGAACTTGATTAATTAGCTTGAAGCTCTTGGAGTCTTTTAAGTGACTGGATTTGACTTGAAGAATACATTTGAATGTTTGAATGCTCTATACTTAGATTGCTTTCTTGTTCGTATCTCTTGTATCTTTCTTCATTGGCTACACTCTTATTTATATTGAATTTCAAAAGTTTCCATTGGCGGAAGACAAATTTGAATAATGCCACACGTAATTTTTTTTTTTTTTAAAATTTCTGCGAAGATTTGACAAATTTTACAACGAAATTTTAGGGGTTTCCAACTCTATCCTAACTCGTACATTGTATCATCCAAATCTAATTTTAAACTTATTTCTAACATTTTTTTTTTCTTTTTTTTGGGATGACAAAATCTCTACTAGCTCAATTAACGCTATTTAAAAAAAAAAAAAAAAAAAAAAAAAAAAAAAAAAAAAAAACCTTAATAAAATTATCTTGAGATCATTTTTTTTAATTAACTATATTGCAGCTGTATGAGTTTGACAATATATATATCCTAAGTTGAAAGTAAACTTAAACTAGGCAAAAATTTAAGAAATTTGACAATATATCCTAAGTTGAAAGAAAACTTAAACTAGGCAAAAATTTAAGAAATTTCATTCAATAGCAAACTTGTTAGTATGTCCACATATACAACAAGATTTTTTTTAAAAAAAAATGTACATGCTCAACTGATAATCTAGTTAAACATCTTCAACGTAATTAACCTTAACCTCTTCTTCTGATCTTTGTCCTTTTTTGCAT